ACCAGAGCACTCAGAGAATTCATTGATTTCATCCGCCCCAATCTTCCTCTTCTGAGTGCATTGAAGTTCCTTGAATAACTCAGAGAAGATTGTTGAATTATAGTGTTTGCTTGTGATTCAGAAGCAGAAATTTTTCCAAATGTCTTAGCGAGAAAATGACATCTGAGGAGCCATTATGAGTGACTCAGCGGGTGTAGGCAGACCATCAGATGAGCCGAGCTCCGCTCTCCTGTCCTCTGCTCCGCTGTGTGTTCTCTGACTTGTGAAAGAAAGTTCTGGGAGGAAGAAGCGATTATAAGAGAGAAGGAGCAAGGAGAACATCGCTGCGTCGCCAGAAGCCGGGCTGCCCGGCTGCCCGGAGGAGTTTTCGACCCCGTTCCCCAGCCGAAGTGCCTCATCGCCCCCGTGCCACGCGGCCCTCGGGGGGCTGCTCTGTGCTCCTTCCTGGCCCCAGCCCAGGTCGGAGGGAGCCCTCGGCCAGCCCCTCGGGCACAGCAGAACCAGAGGGCGGGGCGGGGGCATCTCTGATGTGCGAGAGGAGCCGCACGCAGCCTCCCCCGCCTCGCCCCATCGCGGAGATTCTGAAGGGACCCGCTAACCTTCTCCACCGCGCCGCTCCTGTCTCCCGAGGGGCCACCACTGTGCTAAGCAATGGTCTGTGGCAGAAACACAGATAAGCACAATATGGTCAGCCCCTGGACCTGAAATCAAACAAAAAATACATGTATTTCCCCAGGCTCCATGTTTGTCTAAGAAACCCCGCTGTCTACAGCTCAGAAATCCCTCGCTTACCCCACATATGTTGGCTCGGGGTTTGCGGGCCCTCAGGGGAGCAGGGAGTGTGGGCCCTGCCCCCGGGGACAGAGACAGACCGCCCCCGGCCCCTCTCCATGGACCTCAACCAAGCTCTCAGCCGCCTCGTTTAGGAGCCTGAGGATCAGAGAGGAAATCAGCTCGTGCCCACGGACAGCGTCACGGCCAGAGGCGGGCCGGGGCCCCAGGCCGACGCGGGGCCTGGAGAGGCAGCCGGCTGCGCCCTGCACCTTCCTCCTCAGCCCTGCCCGCCTCGGGGTCCTGCCCTGCGCGGCTGCCATCGCTGTCTCTCCAGCGGCATCACCGCCAGCTGTCCCGCGTGTGGCCACAACAGCCCCCACCTGACCACGCTCTTGCCTTCTTCCATATTGCCTCCCACGGCCACCAGAGGCACTTCTTAAAATTTTTATTTATTGATTTTAGAGACAGAGGAATGGGGAGGTGAGGGAGGGGGAGAGAGAGAGGAACGTTGATTTTGTTGTTCCTGTCATGCACGGATTCTTGCATAGGCCCTGACCAGAGATCGAACCCACAACCTCGGAGCATCAGGAGGACACGCTGACCAACCGGGCCACCGGCCAGGGCCCCCACCAAAGGCATCTAAAAGATATAAATCAGACCTTGCCTGCTGCCCTTCAGGAAACTGGCTGCCACCGGGGCAAAACTGCCCCTCTTGCCGCAGCTGATGTGTGGTTCAGATCGCCGACAGAAAACGCCAGTCGGGGCGGGGGGCGGGGGGGCGGCACCTGAGACGCACGCGGCAGGGCAGGCCTGCAGCGCGAGGACACGCCAGCCCGCGGGCAGCGTCGCCTCGGGTGGCAGGCAGGACTCGGCAGCAGTGCCCCTGGGGCCCGGAGCGCCCGCGCGCCGGGTCGCCCCGCTGCCTGCATCCCCACCACCTTCCTCCAGGTAGGCGTGCACACCAGGCACGTTTGCAGGTCAAGGGCTTTGCATGGTCTCTTCCTTCCGCCAAGTCCAGCCCTTTCCATGGCTACGTCCTGTACGGGTCATTCAATCTGCACTCCCCGGGGAGCTAGGAGGACGCTCCAGGGCCAACTCCCCAGGCCCCGGCTCTGCCTCGCCTGCTCTCCCCACCCGCAGGCGCCTTCTGCCCCTGGGCGCTTCCCTTTCCCCACGCGCCTTGCCCAGGGGCCGGCACAGCCGTTCCGCACACCCCGCGCCTGCCGCTGTCGCCGGCCGCCCGACGGCAGGAAGCCCCCGGGTTTGAGCGGGCAAATGGCCCAGGCCCCTCGGAAGGAGTTCAAGGGCTGTGTGTTCCTGGTGCGGCTGTGGCAGTGCATTCTGAAGGGGACACTGACCAGACAACTCACTACCAGGACCCCTGGGAGGCACGTTCCATCCCTCCCCAGTGTGTGCAGCTGGGAGAGGGTGTGACGACAGTGGCCTCTGGGGTCAGCAGCAGGATCACCTTCAACCCTGACCTGCCCAGTCAGGCGGCCTCCACTGCAAAGGCGTCTGGGGTTCAGGCTGAGCGACTGCCCCGTGGCCCCGGGGACAGGGGGATCCCCGCAGCCAGCAAGACTGCTGAGGCACCCTGCGGAGCCAGACGTGCCGCACCGCCAGGCTCCCTGCAAACAAAGCCGGTCTCCAGGACATGGCTGAGCTCAGGAGCGGGGAGCAGTAGGAAGAGCCTGTGGTTTGCCCGTGGTGGGCGCAAGGGGAGGGAGGGAGGCAGGCTTTGGAGGCGATTCCTCAGGAACAGAAGCTCCACCTGTTCGCTCTCTCCTCGGCTGGGAGGTGCGCCAGGCCCGGCCCCTCTATAAAGCATTGGGACGAGGGGAAAATCAACCTTATTTTTAGAAATAATAGGTTTCTTTGTTGTGGCCTTGGATCACATGAGTCAGACTTTAGGGGGTAAAAAAAAAAGGGGGGGGCGGGGGACTAGATTCCAGCCTGCCACCACGAGCCTCGTGCTAAGGACCAGTCTCCTGGCCCCTCCGGAGCCTCAGTCTTCCTACCTGTAAAATGGGGACACAGCGTCTGACCTCACGCCGTAGGACTCAAGAAGGACCGAGGCTCCCCAGCCTGGAGGCTGTTCCAGACTGTCATCAGCCCTGCCCTTAGCACCACGGGGGACCGGGTATGACTCAGGCACATCCCGGAGGAAGAGCTCAGGGCAGGAGGTCGGCTTCCAGAGAGAGGGCCCTCTGGGGTTTCACGGGACTCAGGTCTCGAGCACCTCCTGGGAGGTGCGACCCAGGCGGGACAGCGGGGGTGCCCATGGCGGGACGTGGGGCGGCCAGAGCCCAGGTCAGGCTGGGTGGGCCCAGGAGGGGGGCCGGCAGGGCCCTGCCAGAGCCTCCCCCGATCCAGGCTGTAGGAGAAGATGCGTCAGGGCCACAGGTGCCCTCACGGGACCAGCTCCCAGGTTTGCGAAGGCCCCTGAGGCTGCGGCTCAGGTGCCTTTATTTGCTTTGAGGAGAGAGAGCCAGGCAGGCCACCGGGGCGGCCAGTCCAGCAGGTTCTTCAGCCTCCTTCCTCTTCCCAGGCCCAGCGGCCCTTAGTTTACCTGCGCGCCGCCCCAGAGCTCCCGTCCGCGGCAGAGCCCATGCCACCGGGCTCTGACTGTGGGCTGCGCCTGGCCCGAGGCCACCCCTCGAAGCAGCCAGCGCCCACGGACCACAGCCAAGCCCACACGTGAGGAAAGGGCCCGAGTCCGCGTGTCTGACCCGTCACAGGGACTGACGAGGCAGAACGCGGCACACCGGACCTCGCTCGCTCACTGACTTGAAAGTCGTGGTTTCAGATGTCCGGTCTCCCTCCGCGTCCTCCTGCCTGATTTCCCCCTCGCCTTCTGTGTCTGACCTGCTTCTAGGTCGTCAACTCTGGATGCCCCGGGTGTCCTGTCCACTGGCAGCCCTAATCTGCCCCTACCCCTCCCTCTGGGGCCTGCATCCCACGGCCCCTTGACCCTCCCACCCACCTAGCCCTGGCCTGCGCTCCTGCCTCCGGAGGCCATGTAACACACCAGGCCCACTGCCGAGTTTGTAGGGCCGCCGTGCGCTACCGAGCTGGGGTCCTCAGAGCCCTGTGTGGCAGCAGGTCCCCCACTAGTGACAACTGAGTGACGTAAGGGTTACCAGGAACTGGCTTTCCAAGAAGAGAGAGCACCCCAAGGACGGAGCCTGTGATCGCGCCCTAGCTCGGTGGCGGCCTTCCAGGAACGGGGACGGACAGCTCCGGGCTGATCAACGCCCGGGCCTCCTCGGAGGCCGCATGCCACTCAGACAGCCACTGCCAGACGGGTGTCCCGGCCCTGCTGGGGTTCCGGGGTCACCCCAGCACTTCCAAGGGTGGCCACAGAAGTCTCTGGAAGCCCAAGAGGCAGTCATTTTGGTTTCTGATCACTGCCTGGGAGGGGCCCAGGGACCGTGGCGAGTGTCCACTCAGAAAGGGGAGAGAAGCTCTGCCTCAGCGGAGGACCCCCAGCCAGGGCCCGGGGGGGCCCCCTTTCTTACGGGGTGGGGGGGGGAACGTGTCCTGTGGCTTGAGCAGCAGGAGGAGGGATGACCCCCCCCACTGTTCCCCTGAGGCCAGGGCTCCTTGCTTCTGCTTTTGGTTCGCCGCCTGGTCACGTTGTGCTGTGTCCGCAGGCGCCCTTCGCAGCCTCCCTGGAAGCCAGAAGGCAGAGGCGGAGGCTGCTGTGCTGCCTGGGCCCTCCCCGGGCCGCCGCTCTGAGAGCCTGGGCCCTTGCGGCGCCGGGTTCGGAGAGCCAGGCCAGGGCAGAGTTCTGGGGGCACGTGCCTTTCCTCCAGGTGATCCCTGCTCTTTCCCAGGGAGGCCTGCGCCCAGGTGGGATGTGGGGACAGGGGTCCCAAGAATCCAAGGCTGGGGGGACATTTAGATTCATCCGTCCCCACCCCACCCCCATCCCAAGGCCCCCGAAAGTCTGACAAAGATGTGTGTGCACAGTCAAGCCACCAGCCACGTGGTTAGGGGCCAGTGGCCGGGTCAAGTCTGGGGTCTGGCTGTGAGCCCAGCGCGTGACCCCAGCTCAGGCCCCACCCCCTGCCCGGCGCGCAAGGCCGCTGGCTCGGCTCGGGGCAGATTCTGCCGGGGCGACGGGGCGGGGCCGGGGTCACCAGGGGCAGAAGCGGGCGCCCCGCCCCCGGGGTGTGTCCGGGCACCCGCGCCACCACCTTAAGGGCCGGGCGGGGCCGGGGCCAGAGCGCGAGGACCGGCGGGGCGCGGGCGGAGGGGCCCGGGCGCAGGATTGGAATCGGGACCCAGAGCGGAACAGGCGCGGGAGCCATGGCGTCGTCCGGGCCGGCGGGGCCGCCGCCGCCGCTGCTGCTGCTGGTGCTGCTGGCGCTGCTGGCGGGCGCGGCGCGGGCCGGCCTCCACTTCCGCCCGGGCCAGAGCTGCTACCGGCCCCTGCGCGGGGACCAGCTGTACAACCTGGGGCGCAGGTCGGCGCCGGCTGGGGGAACTGGCCCATCCCTGGGGCTTCGCGCGCACCCCTGCCTCTTGGGGACCCTGCCACCTCCTTGGAGCGCCCTGCCTCCCTTGACCTTTGAGGGTCAAATCCAGTTTGGGGGGGTCTCTCTTCCCTTTCACATCCAGGGGAGCCATGGGATATACGGGGCTGGACACGAGTGAGGTGGGGTCGCGTGGATGGGGCGCTCACTTGCCCCCCGTCATGTTGGGGACAAGGGGGGCCCCGGGGAGCCCTGGCGGTGCCCAAGGCCCAGAAGCCCCCGCACTGACCCCGTCGGCGGCGGTCTCCCCACAGGACCTACCCTCGGCCTCACGAGTACCTGTCCCCCTCGGATGTGCCCAAGAGCTGGGACTGGCGCAACGTGAACGGGGTCAACTACGTCGGCGTCACCAGGAACCAGCATATCCCCCAGTACTGCGGCTCCTGCTGGGCGCATGGCAGCACCAGCGCCATGGCGGGTAGGTGCGCGCCCGTGGCCCCTCCACTGCGGGCCAGGCCGGCCCATCCAGGCCGCCCCCTGGTCAGCCCAGGGTGGCCAAGGCCCAGCGTCCAGGGGCCTGGCGTTCTGCGCCTGGGGCCGAAGCGCCGGAGCCCTCGGAGCGTGGAGAGCTGGCCTGCGCCCTCTGCCACCCCCCACCATTGCAGAGGCCGAGGGGACACAGGCGGAAGCCTCTCCGCTGGGCAGGGTGGGCCTGCCTGGGGCCTGCGGGTCAGCGGGCATCACCAGGACAGGAAGACAGTGATGAGTGGCTCCCAGGTACCTTCTCTGTCCCCAAGCTTGTGACCCCAGCCATTTGGGATGGAGCCAGAAGTGCAAACTCAGTGAAATCCCTGGCGGTGACTGGGGTGGAAACGAAGCCACTTTTTAACCCCAGTTAATAGTGGAGGTGACCGCCCGCCTGGGCTTGGAGTGTCAAGCCAGGCTTGGGCCGTAGTTGCCCAGCCGGGGGGGAGGTGGGCCGCTGAGGTCAGAAGCCCTCGAGGAGGCTGTAGGACCTGGCCTGGGGCAGAGGCAGTGGAGACGGGGGCGGGGGGGGGGATGTTGGGGGGGAGGCACGCAGGAGGCCCGTGGGAGGGCCTCCTTGTCCTCAGAGGCAGCCGGCGTTGGGGTCGCCCAGCGCTGGGAGTCCCCTCGGCGGACACCTGACCCCTCAGGAAGGAGGAGGAAGGAGGCAGGTAGGCCAAGGCCCCCTGTGAAGGTGGTAGAACCCTCTGGGGAGCTGGGGAGGCCAGGAGATCCACCGAAAGGGCCAGAGGTTCAATGGCTCCAATCAGTGCGAGACACCACCCGGCGGGCGGCGCGGCTGTAGCCTCAAGGCGGAGGGTCTGGGCAAAGGCCAGACAGGCGGAGGGGATGGTACCCCACCCTCGGTGGAGGAAGTGAAAGGGCCTGTGTCACGGAGGGGATGGGGCTCTGCAGCCTCCCCCCACCCCCGGGAGTGGCCTGGTGAGGCCTGGAAGGAACTGAGAGGGGGAGTCGGAGCCGTGGGCCCAGATCTGCATCGGTGACAAGCTGGGGGTCTGGGGGCGATGTCTGGGCTGGCAGGCCTTTGAGGGGTCCCTTTTCAGACAGGCCGCCGTCCTGGAGGGGAGTTTCTCTCCGGGGCAAAGGACCGCTTCTCTGGCTCTCCCTTCGAACCTGACATTGCCCCCACACAGCGGGGTTCTTCTTCCTCTTTTCACAGAGAAAAGGGGACTTCCACAGGCGCCCGGCCCAGCTGCCACCCCACGCAGTTGGCCATAGTTCTTGACTTCCCTCTGGTCCCTAGCCCACGAGTCCCCGCGCTGGGACTCAGCTTCCCTGGGGACAGATGAGCAAGGGTGTGACTCCAGGCAGCCCCCAGCCACCACCCACGGCTCCGAGGGGAGGTGTCTGCGGCCCCAGCTTCCTCTTCTCCGTTCTCGAGCCCACCGCAGCCTCAGTCTACAGGCTCCAACCTTGCCGAGACCCCCCGGCAAGAGGCTGCCACGTGCCAGGCCCAGCAGTCCGCCCCCGGCGCCGCCTCCTGGGCTGGGCTTCATTGCCTCTCCGTGTACCGCTCTCAGCGCGCACCCGGGGGCCCTTGTTCTCCCAAGGGCACTAATGAAGGTTGGGCTCCCTACACTGGGTCCTGGGCTCCGCTTGGCCCTCTGCCCGGGCTCCAGCCCTGCACCCAGCCGCCCCTCTCCCACTCGCTTGGCCACCTGGCCCTCACACCTCTTGCGTTCAGATCTGAACGATCACCCTCACCCTTGTGCACTAAAGAACGTCCAGATCTGTAGAGAGTTTTAATGAGCTTATTTGAGCGCACACTGAAGTTCCTGGGAAGCAAGGTCTCAAATGCTCTGAGGACAGTTTTACGGCCTCTTTCATGCCTTTGGAATTCAGGAGGGAACGTGCACGGGATCCCAGGGAGGCGAGGCGGCAGGTCGGGCTTCTAATGCAGGACGGTTAGCAAGGTCATGTGCTCTCTTGTGGGTGGTTTCACTTGAGGGGTCTGGAAAGAGGCATTTCAAGGGTGTGTTAACCTGGGTGCACGAAGCAATGGCCAGGGCTGGCTTAAGGCAAAGACCAGTCCTTACTAAGAAAGGTTGTATGCCTGGGGCTTGGGCGTCGGCCACAACTCGCCCCGTTGGGAACACAGGACAAGCGCACCGGTGAGCTTTCTCTCCGTTGAATCCCTTTCTCATCCCCACCCCCAAACGCTGCCCTCCTCGGCCCTCCCCAGCTGCACTCGCTCAGGGAAGACGTCACCCTCCTCCGGCTGCTGAAGGCTGCGGCCGCCCCCGATACCCCCTCCGCGCCCCCCGCACAGTCCTGCGGCTGACCTCGTCAGTTCAACACGTCTTGCAAACTCTTCTGCTTTTTTAAAAAAAAATTATTTATTGAGTTTAGAGGAAGAGAGGAAAGGACAGAGAGAGAGAGAAACACTGGTTTGTTGTTCTAGTCACTTACGCACTCATTGGTTGATTCTTACATGTGCCCTGACCAGGGATTGAACCTGCAACCTTGGCGTATGGGGAGGACGTTTTAACCAACTCAGCTACCTGGCCAGGGCATCTCTTCTGCTTCTTGCCCCCTCCAGCCTCAACCCCCCCGCCCCCAACTCCTGCCAGCACCTGGCCTTGTCCTGGCGCCGCTGAACCAGCCTGTGCCACCTGGTCACACAGTAGACCGCGGCTGGTGAAACCCGGGCCGAGTCGTGCTTCCGTTCTGCTTGAAACCCTCTGAGGCTTCGTGCAGCTAAAAGGCAGAATCCTCCCTGGACCTGCCAGGGCTCCTCAGTCCGTGCGGGGACCTCAGGTGGGGGCCATGGGCCGGGCCTTCTCTGGCCAGGACCCTGCTCTCCAGACTCCCTCCCAGGGTGTCACCCCAGCGAGGTCCTCAGCCACCCTCTCTACACGTTGCTCCCACCCCAGGTTCTCTGCCCACTGTTTCCCTCAAATCTGCATCCTTCGTGCTTGCACGGGAACATTGGTCTGTTGTCCCTTGTGCCCCGCCCCATAGACCTCATTAGGTGGAAGCTTTTGTCTGTGTGGAGGAGGCCCAGGGCCGCAGGGGGGAGGGCAGCGACGCCCGGAGGGGCTGCAGCGCCAGCTGCTCAGCTTCTTGGGGGCAGGGACGGGAAAGGCCCTAAGGAGCACCTAGGAAGTGTGCTGTGAAATCCCCTGGGGACCCAGAAGCCAGCCCCGGGCCGGGGGTGGGCCAGCTGCAGGGCCTGGGCCCTGGGAGGGAATCTGTTCACAGAGAGGCCAGAGGGTCCGCGGGCCCCAGGGAGGCACAGCGACCGCTGGTAGCGGTCCCCGGCCGCCTGCGGTGGCGTGCGGGCCCGGCCCACGGACGGCGAGTGTCTGCACTGACCGGATCCTGGCTGGCTGCTCAGAACCCTCTGCGCGCCCAGGCCCACGGCCCAGACCCCGCCAGCAGTAGGTTGCAGTGCCCTGGGGGCCGGGCCCCTGCGAGCCTCCCTGCGGGAGCTGGTGGGCCTGCTGGCGCGCTGCCGGGTGGCCAGGCTGCAGGTGATCGCGAGGTGCCCACCTGCCTGTGCTCCGCGTCGGGGCACTGGCACCCACAGCTCCGCAGACAGGCCTGGCCCTGCCCGCAGGGCGCTTCCAGGTGGGGGTGGGGGTGGCCAGAGCAGGCAGGGCCAGGGGAGGGCGGGGGAGGGGACTGCTCTGCAGAGCAGAGGCTTCCTCCCGGAGGTCCGAGAGGGCCCTGCGGTGGGCAGGCTGGGGCTGACTCCCGCGGTGCCCCTGGCAGATCGCATCAATATCAAGAGGAAGGGGGCATGGCCCTCCACCCTGCTGTCGGTGCAGCACGTCATCGACTGCGCGAAGGCGGGCTCCTGCGAGGGCGGCAACGACCTGGAGGTGTGGGCCTACGCCCAAAAGCACGGCATCCCCGACGAGACCTGCAACAACTACCAGGCCAAGGACCAGGGTAGGCCCCGGGGCAGGGCCTGCCTGGGCGCTGGGGGGGCTGGAACCCTGTGGGTTTGGGGGAGCAGGGAGTTGGAGCCCAGAGTCGTTCCTTGTTAAGGTCTCTGGGGAGTGGTGCCTACAGCCTTGTGTCCCTGTGGCCGGGGCTGGCCGTGGTTTGGGGCTCTGATGTGTTGGCTTCTTGGCGGTTTCATGGGCCTTTAGAGGCACAGGTAGGGGAGTGTGGGCAGGGCCAGTTGGAGGGACGAGGGGCGGGCCTGGTTCCGGGCCCCCGGCCCTGGCCCGCATGAGCTCAGGTGCGCACAGACCACGGCCCCAAGCTGGCTTGGAATCCCCAAGGTTGGCACATTCCTTTCAGGTTGCTGCCCTTGGAAATGAAAGAAGTCCAAACCCCAAGCCCGTAATTGGCAGTTTTAAGTCACCTGCCTCTGTGGAGCACCCTCGCAGTTGGCGCAGAGATCTGGGATCAGTCCCAGGGCTGCGTGAGGCCGGTCGAGGTGGGGGAGGCCAGGTGCTTTCCTGCCCCGCCCTCTCCTTCCCTGCCAGGGATCACCGGCCCCTGGGCCCTGGGGAGCACTGGGCAGGTGCTCGGGCCCTCGGGCTGCCTCCAGAACCGTACTGCCCAGCCTCAAAGAATTCCCCCAGACTGCTGGGGCGAGTCTTGAGGTGTAAACGCTGCAGGGGTCAGAGAGCCTGGGAGGGGGCGGGAGAAGGGAGGAGGGGCCACCACTAGGAACCAGAAATCCAAGCCCTGGGGCCTTGCCCTGCCCTGCCCAGCCCTGAACTGGTCTCCTCCAGCTTCAGCCAGCCCCTCAAACCCACCAGCAGGTGGGACAGCCCATGGTCCTCAAAAGGAAGCTGACTTTGCAATAAATAGCCTGGTCTTTGTATCGGCGAATATGGCCACAGATCCGGCACTTTCCAGCTGCGCTGGGCATTTGGTGCCCAGGGGACACATGGGGCCAATTTAAGGTTATAGGAGGCCGTGTCCTGGCCAGGGGCCCCGGCTGGACCGGCAGGCCGAGCGGTCCCAGGGCTTAGGGAGTGGGGTGTCTGGAGACTACAGAGCTAAGGGCTGCGTTGGGGTTTGGGTGTTTTTTTGTTGTGTTTTTTTGTTTTTTTTTTTTTTGGAGGTCAATGCTCGATATCATCTCAAAGCAAAATAATCAGAAGATGCTATTTTTTCCAAATGATTGGCCTGTTCACTAGCCAGCAGCGGAGTGCTCTTATTAAGAGCTGATCATTTAATTACGCTCCATCTCCAGCGGCGGAGGCCTGGGCAAGGGCCCTTCTCCGGGCCTCTATTCTCCTCTCTTTGGGCATTTGGAAGGAAAACAGCTGCCTTTTGAGTGCCTACTGTGCGCTAATTAACAGCCTCTCATCTCCGCCAAGGCCGGGGAAGGGCTTTTCATGTCTCCTTTGCAGCTGTAAGAGCAGCTGCTGATTAAAGGGCACCGGATGGAGGAAGCAAGGCTCCTGGTACTAGTTGGCAGGCCGGAGGCGGAGGGGTCTGCCGCGCGCGCGCGCCGTGCGGGGAGGGTCTCAGGCTGACTCTGCGCCCCACAGTGTGCAGCAAGTTCAACCAGTGCGGCACATGCACCGAGTTCAAGGAGTGCCAGCCCATCCAAAACTACACCCTCTGGAAGGTGGGCGACTACGGCTCCCTCTCCGGGCGGGAGAAGATGATGGCGGAGATCTACGCCAACGGCCCCATCAGGTGCGCAGCTGGGGCGGGGCGGGGCGGGGTGGGGCGGGGTGGGGGCTCGAGCCGCAGCCACTTCGGCCCCGGCCTCTGGCCCACTTGTCGCCAGGCTCAGGTGCAGCTGCCCCGACCCCGAGTGTCGCCCCCCCCCCCCCCGGAAGCTGGCCCGGCGCTGGGCCGCAGGGGGCGGGGCCGGATCCCCAGCTGAGTCCCCTGGCCTGCGCCGCTCGGTGGCATTCGCTCGACGGCTCATACTCAAAGCGCCCGTCCTTGGCTCGCTGCAGCTGCGGCATTATGGCGACGGAAAAGATGGTCCAGTACACCGGGGGCATCTACGCCGAGTACCAGGAGAAGAGCTACATCAACCACGTCATTTCCGTGGCGGGGTGGGGCGTCAGCAACGGGACCGAGTACTGGATTGTGCGGAACTCGTGGGGTGAACCATGGGTAAGGAGTCCCCGACGCTGCTCCCAGGGCGATGGGCCTGTGGGTGCTGTGGCTACGAGGGCGGCGGACGACCCCGGTGCCACTCGGGGTCAGGGAGCTGAGCCGCACAGGGGCTGTCGCTGTCCTGTGCCCACGCGTGTATAGCTGCGTCCCCTCCGGCAGGTTCAGGAGCCACTCCCTGTCTCCTGGGGTGACAACCAGAACCTTCCTTGAGGGGACTAGCCTGGGGGAACGCGGACTCCACGTGCCAGTTCGGCTGCTTCATTCCTGCACAGCCCCCTCGTCCTTCTCCCTGCCGGTCCCGGCTCTGCTCAGCAGTCCGGCGTGATTTTTTAAAAAGTGCTTTGGGTTTGGCCCACAAATCCAGGGGAGATGAACGGAGCCAGAATTTCATTTCTGAGACATAGCACGGCCCCTTAACGGTTGAAGACGTGGACATTCATTATTATGCAGTAAGGGGTAGTGATTAATGTCGAAGTGATGAAATGTCAATGTTTTGTATTACGTGACTGCAAATGGAGACATTCACAGGCAGTTAAGTCATCTGGTCCAAAGCAGCCACATTTGGGCTCCAAGAACGGGCTGGGCTTCCGGGGCGCAGGGCGAGTTAATCAGAAAAGGTATTAGCGAGCCGGGGTCCCGCCCTGGAAGGGGCGGGGCAGCAGGTGGTGGAGCCGGAGCTGAGTGGCAGGCAGGGGGCGGGGCTCTGCGCGCTGGGAGGCGGGGCGGGGGCCGCGGCCGAGGGGCTAACCCAGCGCCCCCTTCTCGCAGGGCGAGCGAGGCTGGATGAGGATCGTGACTAGCACCTACAAGGACGGGAAGGGTGCGGACTACAACCTCGCCATCGAGGACACCTGTACCTTTGGGGACCCCATCGTCTAAGGCTGACATCTCGAGGAGCAGTTCCTTAAGAATTACCGTGATCCGTGACCAGGGGGACCCCCTGTTCTGGGCCCTGGGTTGGCACCGCCGCGATTCAGAGGAACTGGGGGCTGACACTCAAACCGCGCTGCTGTCTGACCGGTGGGGGGCCCTGGCCCAGCGCATGCCCAGAGGAGCGCCTTGGGACGGCTCCCCCGCCGGGGACTGCGCAGACCATCTACCTGCCGAGGATGTGATCGAGGGACATTAATTAAGGGACCTCCATTTTCTTCAATTAATGGCTTGGTATTTCCTCTTTGGCAACTGCGGTCTATAATGTGGCATTTATCACCAGTTCTTTTATCGCCCTGCAGGACATTGGGGCGGGGGGGGGGGGGGGAGGAGGAGCAGTTTCAGATTGCCCCAGCGCCAAATAAACACGGGACTTGAGGACAGAGCCTGGGGTCACTCACACAGAACCACACAGCAGCCACGTCTGCACCTGCCAACCCAATGGAAGGGCTTTGTTTTATTTGTTCTTGGAAAATTAAACAATTACTTAAAACTTCCACTCATCAGGGTCTTGTGAGAAAACTTGACTCCACTTTGCAAGCAGCAGCTCACTGACATGCCTCAGCGTCTGCGTTCCCACCCCCGGCCGCCGGGGGAATAGGGACCCACTCCCCGTGCTGGGGGAATGGGTCCTGTAGACAGGCTCGACAGGGCAGGGGAACCGCTCGGGACAGCAGTGGTCACCCATATTGCTAATGTTTTCCTTTGAAACACCGTCCACCTCCTCTTCCCAGACTGCATGTCCAAGGTGCTGACTGGGCGCCTCCAGTCTGGAAAGGGCTCTCCCACCCCTGGTCTGGAATATTCCGCTCCGGCTCTGCAGGATGCTGGGCCTCAGTTCACCAGGATGAAGTTAGACTTGCAGTGAGCTTTAACAAGCAGGAGGAAGACAGTCGCAGTTAGCCACAGGCAGCAACACAGGGACCTTCGTAACCAGCAAAGGGACCCGTGCGCCCCCCACCTATGAACTCTGCCACAGGGTCATGCTCGCCCTCGGTTTTGATGGTGCCTGCGATGCTGTCATTTTCCAAGATGGGGAGGAGGAGCTGCACAAAGTCCGAGGTGTACGGAGGGGCTATGACGTCCAGCACCTGCAAGGAGAGGACGGCGGTCACCCCCGTGAGCAGCATCACGCTGCAGGCCGAAGAAAGGCCGGTCAGTCTGGGGAAAACCGCCCTCCCCTCCCTGCTTCTTGCCCCCAGTGACAAGGGCGCGCCCCACATTGAGACGCCCACCCGGGCGGTGCCTGGTGAGCGGGGGCGCCTGTGTCCTGCCATCGGCGTGGTCATCAGGACGCGCAGCTCTCAGGCTCAGGGACAGAACGCACGGGTGAAACCACAAAGGGCGCTGCTGGTGCCAACAGCACGCACGACACTTGGAACAAGCGGTGGGTTGCTGACCTCGGTCACAAAGTAGCGAATGAGTGAAATGTCAGTGTCTAGCTTCTCCAGACACTTCCGGATGTAACTGACCACAGGGAGCACGTAACCTCGACTCAGCAGGTGGACCATCCTGTCCAACAGGGTCTTCTTCAGCTCGAGCTGCGGGAGTGGACACAGCGAGGGGGTCAGGCGGGCCCTGCACGTGGCAGCGTGGGCCCTGGCCCCGGCCCCGGCCTCAGCCTCGCTCACCTGCTCCATCACGTCCAGCTGGGAGTGCTCGGTCTCAAAGAGCTTCACGAGCAGCTGCAGGACCTGGGGGTGCAGGAGCTGGTGGCAGGTGCTGATCTGCAACAGCCAGAGGCAGCCCTGCTGAGCCCCACGCCTGGGCCTGGCTCCCCTCAGCACACTAGGAGCCACGGCCACTGTCGCCGCCGCCACCCGCAGCTCATCCCGACAGTCCTGACAATGGTGGCCCTCGCCCGCAGCCCCAGGCCGGCAGCTTCTGAGCCATCCCTCGTCCCTCCAGGGCCACCTGATAAAAGCTGAGACCCCTACACAGTCAACAGAATGAGTCCCTTAAGAGGAAAGCCCTCGTTTAGGCTGGAAATAGCCAGCCTTGAGGAGAACAGCGTGCCAGCAACGTGGGACAAACAGCACAGGGCGCAGGCGCAGAGGCTCCCGCCGCCTCGCTTCCCTAGGACGTTGAGGGGACACTGCAGGCACGCAGCCCCGGCCACACACACTGGCCGGCGGTCAGGCCCTGCTTCTTGGGCTCATTTCCGCCAGGCTTGTGGCACCCACGGACGGCGGCCGTTAGGTGAGGACCTGCCGTGTGCTGCGCGCGGCCCTCCGACCCCCACCTCGTCCAGCAGCGCCAGGTGCACCGGGGTGTGGTCTGTCTGCAGCTGGAAGTACCGTGGCTCGGACACGGTCCAGTCCACCCACTTCAGCACGCCCATTGCAACCACTGGGAATCTGCAGCAAAAAGGCACAATGTCCCCTCTCAACAGCGGTTTTCAAAAAAAAAAAAACAACAACAAAAAAACAGCACCAAAACCAAACAGAAAAGTTTAAAATACAGGGACAAGCTCAATCCACCCCCATCAATTCTCCTCGATAGGCCCTGAGAGGTGTCTGCTGCGATGCACTGTGGACGTGCCCTCCCCGGGGGTCACGGCTGCTCTCAGCCCTGGTTCCTTCCGCCTCCCCTGCTGCCCTGCTGTTCAACAGACTCCCTCTGCGCCCCGACAGTACAGGTTAACCAGAAGATTCAAATGCCTGGAGAACACCTACCTGTGAGCTTTCCTAGTGAATTCTTGTTGACATAACTGGCATAACTGTTGGTCTAACTTTTACTGCAAATATAAATAGACCCCCCTCTCGAAATCAGTTTTCACAGTTGGTCCTCCCTTCTGCTGGTCTAACCTGCCAGGAGACCTCTCCAGTCTCACCTGAGCGTGACTCATGCAGCTCAAACAATTTCAAGTTCTCTACATACACTCAAGCAAGGAAAATTCAATAAAGCGAGTATTTCTGAAGCTTCGGTGGGCCCCGAACTTCAGTAGGAGAGTCAGGCCGCCCCCGCGCAGAGTGCCCACTCACCGGATGCACTGGTAGAGCGTGCTCAGCTCGGCCACCAGCTCGGAAGCCCCTTTGTTCTCGTTGCAACACAGGTTGTGCACGGTCTCCACCGCCTTCGACGTCGACTTCAGCTCATCTTTGTTGATGCTCACGCGCTTGTTCTGAAAGCACACGCCCCGTCGGTGAGCCCCATGGTGCGTGGAGTGCGGCTGGGCTGCCCACGTGGCCTCGTGTGGGCCGCTCCCTCAGCAAGCCCCTCCCTGCCCTGAAGTCCAGAGGCCGCTTCCCGGGCACCCTCCCCAGTCACACAGCACAGAGGCACTGAAATCCAAGGAGACGGCTTTGTGGCTTAGGGGGAATATCTCGTTCTCCAGTCACGCCAACTTCCGAGGCGGGGGGGCTGCGTGTGCCCCAAAAGGCCCCCGCGCTCTCCGAAGGGACAGCACCTTCTTCCAGGTCTCCACCACGCTGGCCGCGTAGGCCAGGATGTGGATGTACTTGTGCTTGTGGTCCTGGTTGATCCTGGCCCCAGGCTTGAAGAGCGACTGCATGAACAGGTCCAGGAAGGCGGGCACCCGGATCTGGGAACACACGACTCGTTGAAAAGGGACGCAAGAGGGAGAAGGCAGGTGAGCCTGCGCACACTCTCAGGGAGGGCGAGGCCCGCCGTGTCCCGCAGGGGCCCCGGCGCCTGCAGCTCGGGGCGGGGGAGACAGACCGGCGCAGGCACAGGACCGCTTCAGCAGGGACCCACCCTTGCGGACTTCAGAGACGTGAGAGGAACGCAGGCCTTCCAGGGTCATCCCCCCAACTGGGGGTGTCCTGCTTCGTTATTAAAATGAAAAGCGACTCACCAGTTCCACGGGGGGCGGGTCCATGCTTGTGAACATCTTGAACAGGACAGTGATGTCAGCCGGGTTCAGGGCTCCTTTGGACAGCATGGCGCCCAGCGCCTGGCAGGCCCGCGGGTAGGAGGCGGCCGTGCCGAGCGCCAGCGTGATCTGACTGGCGTCGTGGCCTCTGGGGGACACAGCCGCGCGCCCGCCGTTAGGAAGACGGGCACATTGTCCAGAACCCTCCTAACCCTCCCCCCTCCTTCCCTTGCCCCCGTTTACTGCTTTGACCCGTTGGAATCCCTGGGTTTTCGCGTCTCCGCCTCCCGCGGGCACGCCGCCTAACGGACCCAGAACACGACATGGGGAGCCACCTGGGAAGGGATTCTAGCACAGCCCGCAGGTTTTCTAAAGGGAATCTCATGCGTTTTAACTGCCTTGTTAAGACTCCATTGGGAGAAAATAAAGACAGTAAAAGCTAATTTTGTTCTATGGTATGGATTACAGTACAACAATTAGACCACTGAATAACTATTTCAAAGCTATCATTATTTGCTACCGATAAATCCTGAAGTGTGAAAATACAGATTCATAAACCCAGTGAGCTGAACGTTGTTGAGCACTTAACGGCCTGTCCAAGCGACGCTTCAGGAAGGAAGCTCCGTAGGCGCACCTCCAGCCCGCTGCGCAACGGGCAGTCTGCCTACGTGCCCAAATAAGGGGACCTAGCAGCTTGGCGTGGACACAGCCCTGAGGGCCGCATGGGGGCCTGGAGGGAACGGGGTGAGCCTGGACGCCACCTCACTTCTCCTGGGCGAAGCGCTGCACCTCCTGGGCGACCCTGCGCACGGCGGACCCGCCCTGCTCCTCCTGGGCCAGCACGGACATCATGGCCTGGGCGAACAGGTACGTGTGCTCCCCGTGGCACACCATCTTCTGGAGGACGGCAGGGGGGCGGTGGTCACGGGCAGCAAGGACAGGTGCAGGCAGGGGAGGGAGTGGGGGTCGCGACACAGCGAGGACAGTGCAGGGCAGGGGAGGGAGTGGGGGTCGCGACACAGCGAGGACAGTGCAGGGCAGGGGAGGGAGTGGGGGTCGCGACGCAGCGAGGACAGTGCAGGGCAGGGGAGGGAGTGGGGGTCGCGACGCAGCGAGGACAGTGCAGGGCAGGGGAGGGAGTGGGGGTGGCGACGCAGCGAGGACAGTGCAGGGCAGCGAGCCGAACTCGCGCCGCGCTCCTGCAGGACACTGGGGCCTTGGCAGGGGCCGCAGGCTAACGCGAAGGAGAGTCTCACATCTGACAATGTGTGACCCGGGCCGCCTCCTTCCGACCTGAGACAGATGGAGAACTCACTGCAAACTCCGGAAGATTCTTTTCCAGGTTTTCTTCTCCCCCATCCAAGATGGTAGCCAGAGAGGTGCGGAGCACCCTAGAAAACACCTCCAACTGCTGGCAGGCAGTGGACACGCTGGTGATCTCCCCTTGGTAGCCGGCATCAGAAATGAGCTGCGATGTGGAGGGGACCAGAGAGTGTCAACGAGGAGTGGCCACGCTGGCTGTTGTCAGGGTTCGTGGGGAGACGGAACAAGCAAGCCCGGGTCGGCCTCTGGCCTCATGCCCTTGCTCAGGTCTCGGCTTCGCAGCTAACGAGGACTGTGGCCCCGGCTGCCTCCTAGCTCCCCTTCTCTGGGTGGGCGACGAA